TTCAGGGACACTGGTGGATCAGAAGGAAAGACAAGTGTGAAAAAGCAGCAGAAAGGGGATGAGGGAGAAGAGGACAAGCTCCTGCTTGGGATCTCAGGGCTGCAACCACCTGTGGCTGGAAGGGGAGCCTGCACAGGAGAGAAACCTCAGGGGACACAGGCTAGCAGCACGTAGTGACAAGCACTTCACCATGGCCAGGTGATGAGGCTCAGTTCTCTGGCGTTTGAGTAGGGGCTGGGAAGCAGATCTGCTTCAACAGCTGTATATGGGAAGACCAAGCTGCGTGCGTTAACATCTGCAGGTGTAGCATAGGAAAAAGGCTCAGAATCTGATTTGATGTGCAACCATTTGCAAAAAAAACAGCTTCAACATCAAGAGATATAGGTAAACAGAGCCCAGATCTGGGACACTAGCCCCACACCCAGGAGACAGCAGTGTAGATTGTGCTGATGCATCTCTCCTGAGCTTTCTCAGGCAAGTCACCTGGTCCTGCTGTGCCTCAGTTACCCTTTTTTACACAAAAGGTGCTACTCTCATCCCTCCTGGGGAGCTGCAATAACAAACACAATGACAACAGCCAGGCAAAGAGCTAAGACCAACAGATAACTGAGTACCAGAGAACAGCTCCTGATGGACAGATGGGAGCAGGAAGGAACCGAGGCTTGGGTCAGAAATCCAGCCAGTGTGTCCAAACACTCCAAAAGAGAGCCTGAACCCAGCCCAGCCTGTGGTCATACCAGGACCTCTCTCCTCTGAGCACACCCTCAGACAAAATACTGTGCAGTTAGAGCCTGTCTCCCTGGCTGCTTGAGGAGTGTGGCGGATGCACAAGGCCACCAGGAGGGCATGGGAAGGAATGCTTATTGCATTCTGGGGCAGGAGTGGCAGGATTACATGAGCTAAGCCTGCCTGGTATTTGCTTGTCTCATACAAGTAAATATTGCTGGCTGCATATAATACCAGTTAGGCAAACTCCAAGTCCCCAGCCTGCCAGTGAAATGGAAATGGCTTCCTGTTAATGAGACAAGGCACTCCTGGGAAGCCCCATGCCCTTGCCACACAGCAGCAGTCCTGCATTTGCAGAGGGCATTAAACTGCACTGTGACTGTCTGGAGCACCAAGAAGAAAGCAAAGCCACACCACAAATCCTTGAAGCTCCAAACCCATGAACAAGCCTACTACTTGAGCAAGAGCCCCTCCATATGGGGCTGTAGCACAGCATGGGTGATGCAGCCCTGGATGTTTGAATGGTGAAGACACATGTCCTATGCCCTCGCTCCTCTCCAAATCCTAGCTGGTTTTTCAATAGCTTTTACTTCAGTCCCTTTGATGTGTTTTTTTTTTTTTAAGTTCTGGCACCAAAGGAGCCTTTCTGAGGCTCTGCCTTAGGTTTTTCCCATTCCTTCTTCAGCACACAAGTGACAGCAATGAGCAAACCCACCCCCTGTGTTAGCACAGCAGGAGCAACGAGCCCTAGCTATTGCCTAGCACCGCTCGCCAGCAGCACTCAGCACACCTCCGAGGGAGGCGGGAGCATCCCCCCCTGCTTCCCTGCTGGGGAAATGGAAGCACAAGGACAGGAAGGGATTCAGCCCCGGTCAGACCCAGAGCTGGGTTTCTGGAGCCCCTGTGCTCTGCCCACTCACACAGGCAGCCAGGAGCACACTGAGCTCAGATGCGCAGGCTGAAGGGCTGCTGCACAGCCACAGGGATGTGCCAGGAGCACAGGCATGTGCGGGGAGAGGCTGCAGGACAGGGGAAAAGTCTGTACATGAAACACCCAGCCTGGACTGGGGCTCAGGAGCAAAGTGCAGCAAGGCAGAGCCAGCAAGGAGGCTCCTAACTCAGGGTGCCACCCAGCTCTCCTGCCAAGGGCTGGGCCCCAAATCCCAAGCAAGGGAAACTCCATGTGCCTGGGGTGGGAGGCGTGCACTTCTCCAGCTCTCAGCCTGGGGGAATCAGTCTGACCCCAGCAGACACAGCACCCCAGCCCAAGGAGAGATTTCTGCTTTCCTGCATCTCCTGGTCCCTATAGGGCCCTCAGGGTGGTGGGGAAGGAAGCACACAGTGAGCCATGGAGCTGAAACACTCCTGGTTCAGAAGAGGCTGATACGAAACAACTCCCTGAGCAACCCCAACATTACAAGCAATGATGGCTGTGACCTGGGATGCAGTTGCTAGGCAACCAAAAGGTCACTGGGTACCAGGCTGCCCTGGCCAAGGGACTCCGGCATCTGCTTGGGGACAAGAGGGCCAGCAGCAGTGTGACAAACAGCCACACAGAGGCTGGATCAATGGTTCTGTGTGCACACAGCCTGACTCAGCTAGCAGGAAGGGTCATTCGTGTGATGAGCTGGGGCTGGCTCAATCTAGAAGGGCAGAAATCCCAGGGAGGAGCTGGTACTGCGTTGCTGGGGCCAGGGAAGGAGGAAAGGAGATGCATGGTTCTGTGCTGGGGCAGGACCTGCAGCCACAACAGGATGCAGAGGACTGAAATGGCTGGGGACAGCTGTGATCCCCCAGAGCAATCAGGGCTCTGGTTGCAGCCCCCACCATCAGCTGAGGGTGGATAAGAGCTAGCCCTGCACCCCCAGCAGTGGTGGGTGAGAATCAGCCTCGATGATACAGATAGGGAACCTAAAAGGTCATGAAAATTTTATTTTGGGGAGAAAGAAGGGGGTGGAGGGAGCCTTCCCAGCAGGCAGCCAAGCCTGCAGCTAGAAGATCCCCCAGGGATGCAGGTGGCTGTGGTGGCCTCGAGGAAGCCCCCAGCACCTGCTTCCAGAGATCATCTTCCCTGCACAGCCAGCCAGTTTTCCCCTTGACAAGCAATCCCCAGCTGCCTTACGGATCATGCCCCACTTAGTAGTGGGGTCAGACAGCTGGGGACCTGCCTTTGCTGGGAGTGTGGAAGACAATTTAACTCTTACTGAATTTCCACAAGCAGATACAGCCACTGGAAGATGCTATATTTGCAACGCAAAGTACTTCCAGCCCTATCAGGCCCTACGTGAAAAAAATTCACAACTATAGAAAATGCACCCTCCATATCTGTGAACACCCAGTTACTGCTGAGGATCCTCTCCTGGGGGTGGCTGGGACCCAGAGCTGATCCTGGCTATTTCATTCCTTATTCACAAAAGGGAATAAATCAATGCTTTTATGCCACAGTCCCAGGAAATGTCATAGAACAGCACATGACTGAAGCCTGCCAGTGAGAACTCAGACAGCTGAATATTCGCAGAGCCACTGCTAGCACATATTTAACAATGCAAGTAGTTAAGGAATGCAAACTCAGAACAAGTGCACATATTATGCATTTTATGACTATTCAACACTAGCATTGCCAACCAAGAAAAATGCCTATTTTCTTCCACAGGAAGAGCAGCCCCACCAGGGACAACATGCCAAGGTCATCCAGCAACATGCCTGACCTTGAAGTGTTGCCACTGTATCCCTCAGTGAGGGGGAAGGAGGAAGGGGAATTTCTATGACATGCGTATTTTACGCAGCCAAACAATAGGGGAACTATTTGTAAGGTGCTGGCAGAAAGCACCAGGCAGGCAAAGATGCTTGGCATCGCCAAGAGATACCCATCAGGGCCTCCTTTGTGCAGCCTGGAAGAGGTAGGTTTAGACAAGAAGCAGGTTCTAGCACAATAAAGCAAATACTAATGATTTTGCTATTCTGCCATCCAGGCTCCTGCAGTACCATAACACCCAATTGGCAGAAGAGAAGCCTGAGATGGGGGTGTGATGACTTTTGCCAGCAAACCCTGTGCACCCACAGCAGAGCCCAGGCTCCCAAGCCAGCCCTGCAAAAGCTGCCCCTTCCTCTCCTACAGGCAGGGGGCAAGGACTCAAAACTTCAGCCTAACAAGCCTTTAAGGCTAATCAGCTTTTGCTGTCTGGTCTAGATATCCTTTACTAAACCATCCAAAAGATGATCTCTGGAATCTAGCACAAGAGTTTAAGCTGAAACCCCATCCCTCCTCTCAGCACACCAACACACACCTGCCAGCAGCCCTGGCACCGCCAAGAGAGGACCCCACTCCAAACCCAGCACCAAGCAGACAAGCACTTCATCCAGCTACCTTTAATCCCTGACCAAACATGAACAGATTTGGCCATGCAGAGCTTTGGTCACATCTTGAGCAGGGCTCAGATATGCCTCAGTGACTCCAGACCAAGAGGCCACAACAGTGCGGCCACCACCCTCCTGCCAGCAGAGAGCTGGTTTTTGCAGACTGTGCTGATTGCAGCATTACGCTTGCTACAGCTCAGGGCTGCGCTGTGTTTCTGCACAGAGGAACCTGGCTGTTCTCTGCTCTTGCAGATAAATGTGGGAATAGCCTTCTCTCGCTCGTGGAATGGGGGGACTCAAAGGGGGAAATGGCGCTGTGCAACTGTTCAAACCAAATGTAAATAAGTGACTGGAACACCATACGCAGTGAAAATAGCGTGGCAGGTCCCTCTTTGCTTTCAGTATTCATATGGGTCACCGACAAAAGGGATTGCCTCTTCTCAGTCTCTCATCCTCCAACTTGGAGGCTGAGGGTCAGAGTGATCCTTTTCTCTGTCTAGAATTGTGAACAGGCACCTGGATGGAGCATCTCTGACAGATTTCTGAGCACATCTGGAATGGACTTTCTGTTCTTCTCCAAGATTAAGGAAAGAAGGTGCTAGGTCCCTGTTGCAATGAAATAATTCCAAAGCAGCAGAGTTTAACAGTGGGTTTACAGAGGTCTAAATGAGGGCAGGACCCAGATTCATTTGTCTCACATAACAGGTTTGTTTCTGCACAACAGCTCAAATCAAAAGCGTTAAGATCCTTCATGAGCTTAAACTGCTGCTGAGTCAAAAAAACAAAACTACTTTGGCACAGGAATCCTGAATGAAAACCCCAAGCTCCCACCCACCCTACATAGACACAGGGATGCAGTAAGGATGGAAAACTGCATGCATTTTAAACAGAAGCATGAAAAAATCAGAAATACTGACCTTAAAGCTCCAGTAGTTGGGTTGCTAACAAAAAAATAAAACAAAACAAAAACAAAAAATACCATTAAGATTCTGCTTTGACTTTTGTTTTCGAGAATTGTTGACTTTAAACTGCAACATTAAACCTGCTCTTGTTTCTGTTTAAAGACCCCTCCCAATGGGTTTGTTAAGCCTCATGCTGCTAAGGGCTGGTGAAGGGGAAGCAGCTACTAGGGGAAAGAGGATCATGCAACCAGGCAGTAAGGAACACTGATTGGTAAGTAGTTAATGCAGATAGGGGTGCAAATTAACAGAAGCAGAATGAAGCAGGGAGCAGCCCTGCCTTGCTTTTGAGTTGCCAGTATGTACACACCATCCTGGCACATGCTTGTAAGGCTGCTGCCCTGGGAGTCATCAGTGCTGAAAAACAGAATAATTTTCTATTTTAAAGGGATCTTTCAATCCCCCATATTTGCCCCCACCACCTCCCTGTGTTGTTTCTTTACAGCATTTCCACTGTTGTCATTCTCTGCAGCACGTGGACTTGACAAGAGCTGGCATCAGCTACAGCCCAACAAACTGGAGAACTTGGGAGCCTTGTTTTCCCAGGCCATCCACTAAGGACCACTAGTGAGTCGTGAGGGAGGTGGAACCGAAACTCCTGAGGATGCAGAGTCACAGCTGGGTTTGGGTGCCTGCTGCAGCAGAGCAGCACACGGATTACTTGGGACTCTGCAATAAGGGCTGGCCACTTGCCCAGGGCAGCACGGGGCTTGCACAGCCAGGATGTGAGAGACCAGCGAGTCCCCAGAGGGCAACACGGTGACTGAAGGTGAACCTCCAGGAGAACACTTCCAGCACACTGCACTGCCAGAGGGGGACATGCACACACTCCCCACTGCTCTCAGTGGGTAAAGCAAATTACTTCGGAGCATGACCACACTTGACATAGCAGCACCGCAAACAGCTTCACTTGCTCCAGGACTGTATTGAGGCAGGGTACTGGGCCAGTCCTGTAATGCCCATGCAGCCCAGACCTGGATAATACCAGCCAGTGCAGGATGGACTGGTTGCAACACACTAGCTCCAGTGATACTGAAGTCCAGAGACTTTGTGGCACAAGAGCCTCAAGGCAGTGTATCCAGCAGAAGAGAAGTTAGATTTGGGGACAACCAGCATGACCCACCTTGTCAGAAAGAAAAAACATTTGATACCACTGAAACATGCAGTTTATGGGTGGGGAGAAGCAAGCGCACAGCAATTTTTGCCCCAACAGTCTTTTATTGGGATCAAAGTTCTTAACTGATCTTCTTTCTCCTCCCTAGGCCACGTATCTCCTTGTTTTTCCACAGCATTTATTTCTCCACCAAGATCACCGTGGCTGCAAATCTAGTTTTGTTAGGTACAGACACACAGGATGCCTCTTCTATAAAGGAAGCTCCCACACTAAGCTCCTAGTTCCCACTAGCCCCTGCAAGGCCTTGGTGACTGCCAAGGTGCGTCTCCTGTTACAGCGCTCCGGGCACACAGGGGAAGAGTTTTGATAGCCTGTTAGACCATCCTGGAGTATTTATCCAAGGATCTTGAAAATCCTAAACAGATTTGCCACCATGAGTATTAAACTTTTTGCTGATGAAGTAAATAGAGGTCTAGTCTATGCACATAAACACAAACCCTCTTATAAATTCACCTGTTAGGCTCATCTAAAACCTCAGCAGGATACTCTGATTCCAATTCAGAATTGACACAGATGCAGTTCACCTCAATATCCCATAAGACATCAGTATAGCCAAAATAAAGTTCTGCATCAAACAAACTAAAACTGTTTAAATCACTCTTTAAGTCAACTGAGTGCAGTTTGCTCATGCAGACCAGCCTCAAGGCACAAAGGTCTCTTCCAAGGGCAGACCATGACTCAGAGGTAGAACCAGAAATAGAAGTCCAGAGCCCCGATTACCAGGCACTATTAGGTAACAACCAGCAGCATCCAAGCCTATCCTGGGCACATAAAACTTTTCCAAAACACCAGGAGCTTGACAGTGAGAAAATACTTCAGGATGTCTTTTGGTATCAAAAGAAACCATCCATTGTATCTAGTGATTAACATGCCAGCCTGCACCAAGAGTTTTTTGTACTGCAGCCCAAACTCCTCGTGTAAACCCAAGATGCCCCATGGAACACCAGGCTGGCAGCACTGCCCCTTACCTGGGCGTGCACGGGTGCAGGCATGTTTTACAGCACTGCCTTGTGTCAAAGCACCCAAACCACAGTTAGGAAGCTCATGTGAGCAGAGCTGTGCTCCCAGCAGCGTGCTTTTCCTAGGCAAAGCATGAGAAGAGGCCCCTCTCCCTGTCTCCAGGAGAGAATCAGGATTGCATCAGATCATAAAGGGTTTGACATGCTGTTCCTTGATTTGGAAACATCTCAAGTTAAGCTACAGAGGAAAGCATTTTTGTAATAGTGCTTCTGCTCAGGCATCTCACAGCAGCCTTGATCCAAATTCCCCAAGGCCAGACTCAGACACCATCTCCCAGGAAAGGCTAGGCTATGGACCCTTAATAAATTAAAGCCAATTTTAAAGGAAAAGGAGTAAAATCTTT